TCTGGCATTGCAAGTATTTCCTCACCATGATTTTCACATCCTCTTTCATAGTCGGCCAGAAATATCCGGCCCTCAGAATTTTTGCCACCAGGGAACCCACCTTGCTATGATCACTACAACATCCTTCGTGCGTCTCGCTTAACACGTATCGACCTTTCTCGCGTAACACACCTTAAATGAGGTCCAGCGTACGACCGTTTATACAATACCCCTCTGTGCTCGAAGAACCTCCGCAACACCTTTACCCCTCCTTCGTTCAACTCCTTCAATATCGAGGCTCTCCAGTCATCGACCTCTTCTATTTCCGCCACCTCACACTCGACAACACTCTTCTCCATGTGTAGCAAAGTCACACTTCTACTCTTACAGTCGACCAGATTCTGCGAAATTTTGGATAACAGATCTGCTCGACCGTTCTCTCCCCGAGGTATCTGCAACAACACGAACGAGCTGAACTCCTCTCGCAACCTTTTCATTTCCTCCACATACTTCTGCATCCTTTCCTCCTTCACCTCGAAATCCTCCTAGAACTGGCCCACTACCAGTTGGGAATCGGAGTGCACCTGAATCCTTCGAACCCCTCCGGCCATAGCCAACTGCATTCCCTTAATGACCGCCTCATACTCCGCCTCATTGTTCGACACCCGATACCCTACTTTAACCGCAAACTTCAAATTGTCTCCTTTGGGCAAAATTAACACGATGCCCAAGCCTCCACCAACTCTTGACACCGAGCCATCCACAAACATTTGCCAAACACCTTCTGTCTCTTCCTTTACTTCTGTATCCTCCTGTATGAAGTCCGCCAACGCCTGTGCCTTGATCGCCCTCCTAGGCTCATATGCAATCGTGTAGTCACTCAACTCGACCGCCCATTTCACTAGTTGACCCGATACAGAAGGTCGACCTAAAGTTTCTCCCAGCGGCATATTCGTTCTCACCTTCACCCTATGGCCCAGAAAGTACGGCCACAACTTCCTCACCGTTACCACCACTGCTAAAGCACACTTCTCGATCCCCGAATATCTCCTCTCCGCACCCTGCATCACCTTGCTTACGTAATAGATTGGGAATTGCACCGTGCCCTCTTCCCGCATTAGAACCGAACTTACCGCCATTTTCCCGATCGATATGTATAGCACTAGATCCTCCCCAGGAACCGCCTTAGCCAATAGAGGCAGATTGGCTAACACCTTCTGTAATTCCTCGAATGACCTCTGGGCCTCCTCTGTCCACTGGAATTTTGAGCTCTTTCTCAGTGTTCGAAACAGAGGACCGCTCTTCTCCGCCACCTTTGATATGAAACGGCTCAGGCTCGCGATCCTGCCCGTCAGGATCTGCACCTCCTTCACCTTTGTGGGCGGTTTCATCTCGATCACCGCCCTCACCTTCTCTGGGTTGACCTCGATCCCCCTCTTTGTCACCATATATCCTAGAAAATTTCCTGACTTCACTCCAAAAGAACACTTAGCGGGATTCAATTTCATGCCATACCTCCGCAAAGTCAAGAACGTCTCCTTTAAGTCATTCACGTGATCGGCCTCCGCCTTACTCTTTACCAACATATCATCAACGTAAACCTCCATACTCCTTCCTAGCTGCTTCTTAAAAATTTTATCGATCAACCGTTGATACGTCGCACCCGCGTTCTTTAAGCCAAAGGGCATCACCACATAATAATAAGAGCCCCTGCTCATAACGAAACTCACCCTCTTCCTATCCTCCTGAGCCAAAGGGATTTGGTGGTATCCCTGGGACGCATCTATAAGACTGAGCAACTCACGCCCTGCGGTGGAATCGACCAGTTGGTCGATCCTAGGCAATGGATACAAATCTTTTGGGCATGCCTTGTTTAAGTCACGAAAATCAATGCAAATCCTGCAAATCCTCCACTTTCCCCCCAACTTAGACACCATCACCGTGTTTGACAACCATTCGGGGAACTGGATCTCCTTAACATGACCCGCCTTCAATAACTTCTAAACCTCATGCTCGATCACCTTGTCCATCTCTGCGCTATGATGTCTCCTCTTCTGTTACACCGGCTTCACCGTCAAATCAATATTCAAATGATGCTCAATCACCTCCGCCTTTATCCCTGTTAACTCCTCAACCGTATAAGCGAAAACATCCGCGAACTCCCTGATCAACCCAATCAATCTCGACCTTATGGGCTCCTCGAGCTCCTTTCCTACCTGAAACTTCCTCTTCTCGCAACCTTCCACCATCTGGACCTCCTCGATCTCCCCTCCTGGCTGCATCTCCACTTTCTCCTTCCCTTTATCCGCTTTCTCCTTTTCCTCCCTCGACCTCAAACCCCCTGGTCGATTCAACATTCCCTCTTAGAGCTTCACCTGTTTCCTCGAGAGCTGTTTATTGTTGCTCACCAAGGTTTGATAACAACTCCTCGAGGTAAGCTAATCCCCTGCAACCTCACCAACGTTTTCACCCACTGGATATTTGATCGTCATATGGTACGTCGACACGACCGCCTGGAATGCATTCAAACTGGTCCTTCCCATGATGATGTTATATGATGACTCTGCCCCAACGACCACGAACCTCACCATCCTCACCTTCCTCGTCGCCCCTTGCCCCAAGGCGACAGATAGACTCACTTCTTCCATTGGCATCACCTCGCCTCCATTAAATCCATATAAGGCTGTGGTCACTGGCTTTAGCTCAAGATTAAACTCCTTGTTTGTCTGCACAAAACAATCATAAAACATGACATCCACCGAACTCCCAGTATTAGTGAACACCCTCTTCACATCAAAACCTGTCACTCCCGCCGTAATCACCAAGGCATCATTGTGAGGCAGCACCACTCCCTCAGCATCTTCTGCCCGAAAACTTATATCCGGCATTCGAGCAGTAATCCCCACTTCCTCTCTCTTCCTTTTCATCGCTCGAACATGCCCCTTCCTTGTATTGTTCGAGTCCCCATCCGTTGGACCTCCCGAAATCATATAGATCGTCCCTCTCTTCACAGGACCATGATCCTTCTGGCCCCCTCGATCTCTACTCCCTCATCTCTGTTTTCCTCCAGCACCTCCTCGATCACCTCTTCCTCCTCGATGTTCATCCTTCTCGTCATCATCTCGATCACTCCGCTCCACTGAATCCTCCCGACACCTCCCTTTATCTTTCCCCTTCACCTTGTCCTCATACACAAATTCCTTGAGATACCTTGCCCGAATGAGGCGCTCAATCTCATCTTTGATGTGTCTGCACTTCTCCGTCGTATGCCCGTAATCTTTATAGAAACGACAATACTTCTTCGACCTAGGTGTTGTCGGCCCCTCATGCCTCGATTTCGGCCACGTCACGTCCTTGTCCTCTATCTTCTTCTCGATGGCCACTAGCACTTCTCCCATATTTGCATTCAGCGGCGTAAAGTTATGGAACTGCTTCCCTCTAAACACTGGTCGATCCTTCCACCTATCCTCTCGTCCACGATTCATCCTGCCACGCCCCTCTCTCCTGGGCAATCTCCTCCTTGGCGACACCCTTCGAGGCGAGTTCGCCTTCCCTTTCTTCGGCTCCGGCTTAGCTAATTCCTCTAACTTAGCAAACTTCACCTCCATCTCCTCCAAGTTAATGTACTTCTTGCACCTCTTCAGCACGTCGTCATATGTACGAGCGGGGGTTTTGGCTAAGGATGTTCGACAAGGCCCTGCTTGTAAACTCCTTATCAACCCTCCAGCCTTCACCTCGTCCACAGCCGTGGGGATCTCCAAACAAGTTTGATTATATCGAGCGACATACTTGCGCAACGACAATTTCTCCCTCTGCCTCATGGCCATCAACGTCAGATACGTCTTCTCCTGCGCCACAGCTCTCGCATATTGGGTTATCAGCTTCTCCACGAAATCGTCAAAGTCCTTGATCGATCCATGAGGGAGCTGCTGAAACCAATCGAGCGCGCCTCCTCTCAAGGTCGATAAGAATTCCTGCAGCTAAGATAATTGGAATAACCATGTAACACAGCCAAGTTCTCAAATGCCCTTACATGCCTCGACGGGTCAGTAGTCCCATCGAACACCAAACTCATGTCCCTGAAATTCGCGGGTAATGGTGCAGCCAATATGTCCCTCGAGAACGGGTGTCCTCAAGCACGCCTCTCAGGTCGGCCATCCATCTTGGCTTGCATCTGCCTCACCTGCTCCGCGAATCTCTCCACCTCCCGATCTCGCAGAGCTCCATCTCCTCCATAATTAGACACATCCTCATCCACCATCGCTGGCCCAGCGGCCACTCGCGAAAGGCTTTGGGTAACCTGCTGGACCGCTTGTGCCGCCGCATTCGCCACCATCTGCTGCATCTTCTGCCTGGTCATCACCACCTGCTGGCCGAGGCGCTGCTCCTCCACCGACGGCGGTGCTGCTCCCTGCACCGCTGCTCCCTGCTGCGGCACCACGGCCAGATCTGGCTGCAACGGCGTTGGGATCGCTGCTCCTTGAGCTGTACGGGCCTCCTGAGCTCGGCTTGAGCCCACGTCAACCTCTGGTTGCACCGGCGTGACTCCTACACCTTGGGGGCCAGGGAAGCCCAGAGGAGGGCCTTCTCCAAACGGCCTCGTCGTCGTCCACGCCTCGTCGAACGATGCGTGCAAATCTCTTCTAGGAATTTCGCCCGCCATAGCCACCGAGCTTCAGTACTCTCAGCACACTACTTTTCGAACGAAGTCCCACAGACGCCGCCAAATGGTAATGCAAAACACTCCAACCGGCTTGAAATCGGCTGGTCTTTCTCCTCCTTGCCGGTAGAACGCCGCGCACCTGCACAGAACTCTCACACCGGAGGGGTTTTCTAGTGAAGAGCCTCTGATGCTTAAGTCAGTATATCTTCTATTCAATTCTCCACAGTATGTAATGGATAAATCGTAAGTCGCAAGAAAAGACCCACTCCTATATATATAGGAGTGAGGTACCTGCCCTAGGAGCTGCCCGGATCTGGTGAGCTGTCCTGCCCGTACTGCCCGTCCGTACACACACAGCATGTGTGTGTCAGAAGCGTCAGAGGTGGTTATCACCACTATTGCTCTGCACCAATGTACTTTTACCACGTGTCCCTCTGAGCAGAGGGAGATTATTCCTTGTGCATCTCGTTAGGATCTTCTAACGCCACCCATGCGCTTTTTCGCGTTCAAGCCACGCTCTCGACTGCTCTTCACCTGTTAAGTGCTCAATCTGACCGAATCCCCCATCGCCAGGTCGATCCTCGACCAGTTCTGCTATTCTGCTCGATCTCTTCCCTTTTAGTTATCCTTCGACCAATGCAGTTTTCTCTACTTCGAGCTTGCCCGACCAATGTGGTAAACTGGTCTATTCTTTAGCTATATAATATCCCATATCAAAGACTAATACCGCGACGTAAACCACAATCACTCCATGTCAGATTAAAAAACCGCCACGTCATGCCACATCAGGATGTTATCTAGGATGCGGATAAAAAGGGACTAAAATTGAGAAAAATGTCAATTTAAAGAACTAAGATTGATGAGGGTCAATATCTATCTNTCAAATTTCATTAATAAGATGAGGGTCAATACCGAAAAATCGAAAGTGGACAATATAGAGGATCAATTGTGAAATTTTTCCCTAGGACATGTAACATACCAAAAAAATAGAACCAACCTAAAATGAAAGTTGCAACATCTCGGTTATGAAATTTTGCGCCGATGCTATTGTAAAAACGATCGGGCCAACAAAGAACATAACTGTCGTGGCCCGTTGAAAAACTTCACGTTGCTGCTCATCCGCTAGTGATTGGCGGCGATTATGTGCTGACACTTTGTGTAAAACCTCGGATCAATGAGTCGATCATCAACAATAGCGTTGATTTAGGTCTAGTTAGGGCTTTGAGGGTTGAAATCAAGGGGAACAATACCGTCGATGGGCTATGGGAAGTTCGTGTTGGCCTTCCAACTGGAACAAGCACGGATGGCGTCGTACGCAAGGGCGATATCTACGGCCGCCTTCCAGTTTCTGAACCCGTTTGCTTAGTCGAACGAGTAGGTGGGGCCCTCATGGGCTTCCTGTATTATCATCCAAATAAATTGTACATCGTCACCTGAAAAAATAATTTTCGATTTAATAAAAACATCAATTGGTCGAGGTGAGTAAGTCCGAATGTAATCAAAGAGGAGGAGCGGTAGATTGACGATCGAGACAAGGAACAACGACACCAAGCAAACCTACGAATTGAAGAAACTACAGTAAGAGATTATAGGTTAGGGATAATAATCAGAAACGATGAAGTAGATAAAAATTTTACCTTTTTCCACTTTAATTATCGTGAAGAGGTGGCGGGATTTTTGTATGGGTGGTGGATCGAGTGTGATGATGTAATCCGTAAGTTCTAAAAAACTAAACTATTTTTTCCGTATTTTTGAAAAATGTTTGAAAATAAAAATTAAATACAATGAATGTGTAAATAATAATGATCCGCTACGATGGACAAATTTTTTTTCCAAATTTTATGTGCAAAGGATATATCTGGTCCAGTCCCTCTCCAATTTTGTTTAGCCCAACTCATTTTTTCTTTTTTTAACCAATAGCCGAAAACTCATGAAATAGTAAAAGCCCAAATCTTTCCTTCAAATTAACCCACCAGTCACCTACCTCCTCTCTCATTATCTTTTTTCCTTTTTTTTGTGTTTTTTTTTTTGTTTTTCAATTTGTTCTTTTTCCTCGCAAAGAAAAAATTCCCAATTCACCTTTCCATTTCCTTCTCCTTTTCTTCATCCAATTTCTCTTCTTTTGTACACCCACATAAATAACAGCACCGATTTCACTATATATATTTCATCACCTCAACAGCCGCGTAGATCCGAGGGACGGAGGACCGACGACGACTCTCAGCCAGATCCGTGGGCGCGGGTCACCGGCACGTCACAATCGTTGCTGGCACTGATAAGGGCTTAAGATCAACGAATACGAACGGTCACAAATGTAGGATTAATATTTTACGGTTCTATTTAAATTGAAATATGCACTTGATAAGAATCATGGGACTAGAGCTATGCTATCATCTTCATTCTGTGTTGTTGATTTGGATTGATATGAAATGGGATCGCTTTTGTTTTGGAGAACGTGCATGATTGCCTACATACAGTATGCGAACAGTAGAGGCTTGTTTTTGTTTTTGTTTTTTTTTTTTTTNGGCAGAAAATAACTGAACCGAAGACACCGTACCATCCCATGATTGATGTTGATGATGAGGATGACGGTATGTATTGGGTATTTATTCAACATTTCTGAAGCTTCTGGATATATCAAGATTCGTGATGTTACCGAAAAAAAAAAAAAGGAAATTCAATGATGATGAAACAACATTTTGATACTTTGTGACTATTCCTATATCCTACGTCCATTTGATAATTTATGATTAACCGTGTAGAGCTCTAGGATAATGATATAATTTATTGCATTTTTTTTTCAGTTACAAGGGCATAGCTTCGAATCTATGATATTTGAGATTAATATAGCTTTACTGGTCTGATATGAATTTGGGAATAGCACGCATTGAAATCTCTTTAGTGCAAATTTTAACACTGTGGACGATGTTTAGCTAACTGTGTTTTGTTAACTTAAAATTGTAATGTAACTATATTTGTTAGTATTATTACTATCATTATCAGTTTGCTAAAAAATCCTTATAATTTGGCACCTGTATAAATCTTCTATTTTAATATGATGTAGGAGAATTGGAAAACCCTTTTCCAATTTTCGGTGAATAAATTAGTTACTTGGAATGTACCGTGGTTCAAAAGTAACTAGTTTCTTAAATGAATGTAGACACATCATCACCTGGCAAAAGAGGAAGTTTTGGAAAAACTTTTGAGGATGCAATGCATGCAGAAGCTATACGTACGGCACTGAATGATGTAGGTTCCTCTAGCAAAAATGTTGTGCATATCTCGGGCTGGACTTCCTCTGAGGATGACATGGATATTATGGATCATGATGGAGAAGGTTATGTTTCTAGTTCTTTCATATTGTTTTTATTTTTCAAATATGCATCTGTTCCATAGTGATTCACTAGATTACAAGCTTCCTGTGCTATATGATCAAATCAAACTGTGCTATAACTATGGGAAAACTGTCCTTTAAGTCTAGCTTGATTACAGCAAAGGATATATACAAGATGCCCCCTAATATGGCTTCAGTTATCTACAGAAAAACAAGTAGGTTTCTTGAAATCACCCAGAATCCCTCGATGATTGATTTTATCTTAAATTTTAGCTGGTGAGTGAGTGGGTAGCTTTAACAATTTGCAAATTGTTTTGGTGGTTTGAAAATGCATTTGCACATGAAAGGAACACAAACTCCCACAAGCTTTTTGAGTATTTTGTTTTTGGCCCAAACCTAAGGTCTTTGGTAAATATCCTTACAAAAGAAAGAGGCAACACTCCCTTAGGCTATGTTTGTAAAAGAAAAATCTCAAACCAAATTAATTCATACTCAAAATCTAACTCAACTTTAACTCAACCCCACTATCTTCAATATTATCATTATAGTTAAATAATAACAATCAATCATTAAATAATAACAACCAATCATTTTTACACATCATATCAACTTCAATTCACTATTCATCCACTTACATATTTTAATTAACCATCACTTCATATCATCTTTCTCCTACTTTTACATAAACCAATTTTAATTATTATTTTAATATAAACTCAAAATCCCACTAACAATTAACTATACCACTTTTTTTAAATTAACCTTAGTTAACTAAAAAAAAAAACTCACTTTGAGTGAATTCACTCAAATTATTTCTTTTACAAACACACCCTTAATGTTCTAAAATTCATATGTAGTTTTTGAATCTGACACTAAATCTGAAGCAGCAGGTTCTGAATGCGAGAGGCGCAAGAACTTCCGGGAGCACAGAAAAGCTCATTATGATGAGTTCCGCAAGGTTAAAGAACTACGTCGTAAGGGATCTCTCTTAGAAGATGATGAGTCGGATTTGGATGCCGAACATGAGAAGGCAAATGGTCCAACTGAATCGTCCTCATCGATAACTGCTGGGGTTAAGGAAATGGAAATCAAGGAATCCTCGCCCCCCACAAATGGTACTTAATAAATTTGCATCTGATTAGAGACATGTTAGTGTACTCAATCCCTCTTTTGTTGTGGGTTTTGTTGCTGTATTGTACGTGTTGTGCGTTCGGTATTGCAAACTTGTGCGTATAACTATATATATGCAGTTTCTGGGTGTATTTCCTGATTAGAGTTCAGAGGGAAGGCTTTAGTCAGCTTGACTTGGCTACTTATTTTATGTGGAATTTTGTTCATGATATGCAGTATGTGCTCGAGGTAGTTTAAGTTGATGATAAAAATATTTTCAAGGGATAAGAGATGCTCCTGTGAATGTCGATGATGTGTCTTTATAAGTGGCTTTGATCGTTTCCTATCAACTCTAGCTACGTATAACTACTTCATGCCTCGGTCTTTTTTTTTTTATCTTTGTTAATCCACCAAGATGTTGACAACATATTGAAATGTCAAAAGAAATTATGCTAAGATTATGCTAAGGTTAGGAAAGAAGAAATTATGCTAAGGTTAGGAAAGATAATTCCATTAGAGTCACAGTAGCATAGAGTTAATTATATACATTAAGGTAGACAATGGGTTTATTTTCTTCTTCTTCTTTTGCGTTGGAATTGACTGCCCATCATTGCATTTACTAGCCATTTAGTCTGCGATACCAATCCTCCAAATCTTGACTTCAAATTTTCCCTCAAGTATGGTTCAATGCACAAGAATCACAATTGAAATGTTGATTTCGGACAATCCACATTGGAGATTATAAGATAAATTATTGCCGTGTCATGCCAGCTTGATTAAAATTATAGAAACTATTTACAAAACTATGATTTCAGATAATTCTCCCCACCGCAATTCATTCCCCTTACAATTAAAACTCTCCCCCTTCACTCTAAAATTTAACAAAAAAGAAAAAAGGAAAAAGAAAAAATCCTGTCTCTTCTCTCCCTTTATATTTCTTCACGGCCTCTCTGCTCACTGCCTCTGCCTCTCCACTCACAAGCAGAGACCGGGTCTTCTCTCTGCTCACTGCCTCAACTCTCCGCTCACAGGCTCGGTTTGGCGTCCTCTTTCGCTGGTTACCGGTCGAGAATGATGGTTTGCTCTCGTTCTCTCCCATCACCCTGGATCTTGTTCTTAACGCATATATCACTTGAGTTTCGACTCCTCGTCAGATTTTGTATAAGCTTTTCGTGTTTAGAATCAATCTTTTAGATTTGAGAGTAATATGCGAGTCTTAATTTTGTCCTTAGGGGGAGTGACTGGTTTGTGTGTTGAATTGTGATCGATGACGGGTGGTTTCCCCTATTTGCATGTGATTGTTGAAGGATTCGAGTCTGTAGTCGCTATAGTCGTGGCAGTTTTATTGCAGGAGTTGAGGCTTTATTCCATTTTATAGTTTTATTTAGTGTTTTAGATTTGTTTTTGTTTTAGTGTTTGTAGACTATGTTTGGTAAGCCAAATAAGCGTTAGCTTATAAGCTTCCTGTATTCAAATAAGCTAAAAAAGCTCGAGCTTATCTCCTAAGCTACTTTAGGTAGCTTTTCAAATAAGTTAGTTGAATTTTTTATTTCAGCTAGCTTATGAGTTAATTTTACCAAACATTTTTATCATACAAGCTAGCTTTTCAGCTATAAGCTATAAGCTCAAAAATTATATATATCAGCTAATTTAACCAAACATTCGTAGTCTCCCTTGAAGAGTTTCCTATTCTCTCTTGGTTTGTGTTAGTATTTTACGTTTTAGGTGTTTTGTTTAGTCCTCTTGGTTATCTATTGTAATCCTAATGTATGGATAGTCTATATATTAGTGGTATGTTCTACTGATAATATTTATCTATACTATTATAAAGAGACGAGTAGTTTTGTAAAAAATGAAGTAGCTAAAAAGTCTTTACATTGAAATATTTTTAATGGCAAATCTATATATATATATAATTGCTGGCAAGCTTCATTAAATTTTATTCAGCTAACAATTAATAAAAATATAATTCATTACAATTTTTATGACTTTCTTCAAAAACAGTTACAACATATTTTATTTATTTATTTGTTCTTTTAATTTGTGCATACAATTATCCACCAGTTTTTTTTATTATATTTTGGGTTTAATTACCATTTTTTATTTCTTTATATTTGGGGTCTGTAAGTGTTGCATGGTGACGAGATAATGTTTAAACCATTAAATTTGAATGATTAAAAATATTTTTTTAAATTTGTATGTTAATTGTGAAAGAAGTATTAATTATTAATATGATATAGATACAATCCAAAATGTATATGTATAATGAAACATCTTTTGTAATAGACAAATTTACACCAACTCCAAATTTAAATTTTTCGTGCAAGATTCTACCCTATATTAGTTGAATTTAATGAAAAATAATTATTCATTTCGTTTTATTTATATGATGTTCATTTTTACTAATGACAAAATTTTTAAAATGTGATACTATTATTTAACTTATCATTTCATTATTATACTTATAATAATTTAAACATCTGTGCATGTGCACAGGATCATACTAGTTAGTAATCAATACCCATTCTATTTTATATTTTTTAACTAATAACTAATATTCTACCTAATATTCTTTTACTTTGACATATTTTTAATGAAAAATTAGTAATACAGCTCATCCTATTTATATTTTTAATAAATAACTAATATTTAGTTAATTAAATAAATATGAAGTACCTAAAAAGTCATTACTTTGACATATTTTAAATGAAAATTAAATAATACATTAATACCCATCTTATCTTATATTTTTTTAATTAATAACTAATATTCAAGCTAAAAAACTCTTTGACATATTTTAAGTGGAAAATTAGTAATACACTAATACGCATATTCTCTTATATGTTTAATTTATAAATAATATTTAATTAATTAAATACAAAAATATACCAAAAAAATATTCTACATTTCCTAAAATCAATCACAATATTCTTGCACCATTATTCCTCACGCTTATTTTTTTTTCTCAACATATCTCCCAAACTGTTTTTTTCTATTTCTCCTAAAACTCAAACCAAATCAACTCAAAAAACAAAGCTTTAAAAGGATATAGAATTGATGTTTTGAAAAACGTCCTTATTTTTATATAACTTTAAGGGTAAAATCATAATCATATTTAATAATTATAATATATAAAAGTTTTGATCCAACAAAAATAACATAATAAATACTTATAAAGAATTCAAATACTTTCAACTATTTATTTACCTATCTACAATTTTAACAAAATAATTTCTAAGATACATACTTAAAATTAATTAAAAGAAGATATCTAAAATTTTACCGAAATCATTCACAGGTGAAATAATTACATAATCTGACAAACTAGAAAAGTTAAACAATTCATTTAACTATTTCATTATTAAGTAAAACAAACTCTTGTATCTAGAATTAGAATTAGAGATTTCACCGTAGTTATTGGATTGAATTTTGATCCCACAAAAATTGGCATTTATTTATTTATTTGTTTTATTTTCAACTTTGGTCCAAAAGTCAATAAAGTTACCGGATCTTACCATTAGGTGGTTAATATACTGTGAGTAATATTTTGATTATTAACTTTTAAAATATTTGAAGTTTTTCTTTAAGTAATTAACTTAAATATATGATGATATTTTAATTATTATTAATTTATTTGAGTCATTGATTTTCAAGATGGGAGCTAAATAAACAATGAGAAATCAAATTTTATATATTAAAAATTTTATTTATTGATATTATTTTAATATTCTTAATTGTTTTTTATGCTTTTCTCAGTAAAATGTGAGAGTTGATTTGACCACAAGTATCATATCAAATAAGATAACCGTTTAAGGAACATTTATTTAATTTTGTAAATTTATCAATAACTATATGTAAAAAATTTAAAATATATGTTGCTTATTCTCATAACGGCCACAAAGTATAGAAATATTATTTTCGAAATAACCTATAAAAATAATAAAATGTGTAATAGCATGAGTGATCAATTATTGCATGATTGTTTTGTAACCTAAACTTCTATTCTATTCAAGTTCTTTGCTTAAAATAAGATTAGAACAATTATATGAAATTGTATAATAGTAAAACCTATCCATACCACTTGAGCAACATGATTTAATTTTGATCCTATGACTATCTAAAAATTAAGTAAAAATATCTCGAGAATCGTTGATTAATTCTTATCAAGAAATCATATCGATATATTATTGTTACTCATTTATCTATTAATAAGTATTATTTATATAAAGCAGTGTCTTTATTTACGGAGACTAAGTCAGAGAAACTATCTCGACCTGAGGTGAGAAAGGAAAGAGGAATCTTGCCGAAGAAAGAAAGATCGGAAGGGAAAAGAGAGGATAGGTGGAGAGGTCGACCTGTGAGGGATGGCCACAGGTACAATAAATACACTCCACTCAGGTCGAACCCAACAGTTGTACTGGAAACCACGAAAAAAAGGATGAATGGGGATAAAATTACTTGGACGAAGTCGATGAGAGAAGGCCGGACTCTGAAGTCAGCACGTCGTTCTTTGGATTTAACAGAGGAGAGCTCGTGCCCATGAGGGAGGTCACTCTCCCAGTAGGTTTGGGGTCTGGGCCGACATAAAATGGTGAGGTTTCTAGTCGTTGGAGTTGAATCTTCCTACAACATCATCTTGGGGAAGCCAAGTTTAAATGCATTTCAGGCGGTGGTATCCACGTACCACATGAATACTAAGTACCTAGCAGGAAAGTTAGTAAGGGAGGTCGAAGGCGATCTGCTTACCTCACGGTTGTGCTATCAGGTGTCCGTGAAGGTGGGGCAGCAAGGTACAAAGAGCGTGAATAACTTGAAAAGAGGAGGAGCTCGAGGTGCGAGTACCTCGGGCAAGAAGGTCATCAAATTGAGGGAAGAAAAAGACAAATAAGAGATGCAATCCGAAGAGGAACTGTTCAAAATGCAGTTTTTTGAAGGTGCCGAGGGAAGAAAAAATAAGATTGGAGGAAATTTTGTAGAGCCATTGAAGGAAGAGCTCATTAACTTGATAAGGGATTTTAAGGATGTGTTTTGCATTTACCCCAGAGGAGTTCACAGGGATCGAGGCCAGCATAATTGAGGATAGATTGAACATTGATCCTATGGCCGAACCTGTTAAGTAAATAAGGAGACATCACAGAGCTGAGATGGATCAAGTTATAAAGCAGGGGGGCGATAAGCTATTGAAAGCGGGACATGTCATCTAGATACAATTTACCAAATGGTTGTCAAGTACAGTTATGGTGACAAATGAGAAGGGAAAGTGAAGAATGTGTGTTGAGTTTAGTAATCTGAACAAGGCATGTCCTAAGGACAACTACCCTATCCCTAGGATCGGCCAATTGGTCGACTCCCCGACAGGGTGCGAGCTCATGAGCTTGATGGACGCGTTGGAGGGCTATCATCAAATTCAACTTACTAAGGAGGATAGGAAAGGTGTGAGCTTTATTTTAAGTTAGGGAACTTATTGTTATGTGGTCATGCCATTTGGTCTGAAGAATGTCAGGGTCACCTACTAGAGGCTGGTCTGCAAAATTTTTAAGGAGCAGCTGGGTCAAAACATAGAAGTATGTGTCGATGATATGTTGGTTAAGAGAAACCTGGAGATCGATCATGTCGCAGACCTTAGGGAACCTTTGATACTATGAGAAAATCTGGAATGAAGTTAAACCTGACCAAGTGCGTGTTCGGGGTGAAATCAAGGAAGTTTCTAGGGTACCTGGTTACTAAGAGGGGGATCGAGGTTAATTCTGAGAAGGTACAAGTTGTTTTGGAGATGGAACCCCCCAACGAACATAAAGGAGGTTCAAGCATTAATGGGGATAATTGCGAGATTGAGCAGGTTTATCTCGAAGGTGGCTGAAAGGAGCAGCCCTTTATTCAAAACATTAAAGAAGAGTGCTCGATTTTCTGGACAGACGAGACACATGTCATTTTTTAGGCGCTAAAGGTCAATTTAGCCGACCTAACTGTTTGTGTATATACTGAAAGCTTTGCTTTGAATGTTAATTACACTATTTCTGTTGAATGAGAATCATGTTTGATTAAACAAGTTCTATGATATATTGTTTTTCACTTAGATATATGGTTCATCACGGCAGACGATGCCAACAACCCTCTAGTGTCTGAATCTGACCCTCGAGCTCTCTCATTTCATGATCGCTTAAAGAAGACATGATTAGCTGAAAAAAGAAAGAGAAAAAAAGAAAAATTTGGGGTTTTTGTTTTCCAAAATTTGAACCCTTGGAAAGCTCTGAAAAAAGGCGGATGAAGTACCTTCCTTTTTTATAATTAACTTTATTGCGAACTCTCTCTTTTAGGCTCGAATTCCAAAAGACACACCTGTACTTCAATTAACATGCCTTAAATCCGAAAAGATATATATCTTCATTTACTGTTTTAAAACGACATCTCGCATCCGTCTGATGTAACCGTCACGTGATCGACAAAGTATTCCTATGTCGACGCCGAAATTTGGGACTTAGCTTTCTAGGCGGTTCAAGCTATCTCTCCCCGCCTAGAAACCTGGGGACCTCTATGTTGTACCCAAAATATCTGATCACAAGAAATGGCATGTCCCACATACTAATCTCAACCCAATAGGACGGGCAAGGCCTAGGAAACAAGGATCATCCCACGAGCCCAAGCGATCACCGTTAGGGTTGTCAATCGCTCGATCGGTCCAGTGATCTCCAACGTAGACATGGCCAAAACATGGGCCCGTCGGGCCTCCGGGCTTGAAAATACCGACCCTGAACCGACATGGACCTATACTCGTGTCGGGTTCGTGTCTAGGCCGGTTCGTGTTCGGGCCGGGTCGTGTCTGTGCTGGGTCCGTTACTTTTTTAAAAAACAATAGAAAAAAATAAAAAAAATAGAAAAGGCGGGTCATCGACCCGGCCCGGCCCGGACCGGACTCGCCGGGCCGGGTCATGAAATGGATGACCCTTACACGGCCCGTATGAAATCCGGGCCGATCCAAGACCCGTGGTAAACGGGTTTGACCGGGCCGGGCAGCCATTTGGCCATGTCTACACCCACGGAATCCTCAGGCCGTCTGACCGCACCCTAATAAAGTTGGTAGCATCGCCCGACATGTCCCATCAATTTTTGCATGAAAACACGCATTGTTGCTCTACCCCTTAGTTGACACTCCTCACGCATTGTTGCCCTACCCCTTAGTTGACACTCCTCAATTGAATGCACCGACACCTTTTTTCGGTATAAATGCCAGCCCTTAAGAAAGAACAATACAATTAGATAAAGTAAAAATTAAGCCTAAACACACATAAGCCAACCTTGGCTAATTCCTCAAAGATCATCACGATCACAACTACCATATCGCAAATTGCTACATGCGATCTCCCGCAGATCATATATAAAACATTCAGATGTAATTCTTGTACACTATTTTTAATAGAATCTCGGAGAAACCCTTTCCTTGACGATCACCACAGTCGATCGGCAAAATCTGTGTCTCGCTTTATTTTTACGCATTAGTATTGTTGCGATCTCTTTGTATCGTGCATATCTAAAAGCATGCCATAAAATACCATAACCCCCATAATAAACCATCTTAAATTCGATTTTCGTAACCGTTGGCAGCACACTGTCAACAAGTATAAAATTTCTTCAACTTTAATCAAATCAAGACTCATTAACATGAAAATAAAAGGTCTACAACACAAGAACTTTTATAAACTATCTACTAACCAAGTCAAGTGAAAAACTCTATGATGCAAGTATAAACTATCAACCAAATTAAATCAAGACTCCTTTATACAAGTTTAAACTACATACAAATACAAATTGAAGAACTCCTGGACATGAGTTTAAACTATCTATATGTCTTAACCAAATCCAAAATCTATCATTATATAAAAAGAATAACCATTTTATAAATTTAGAAACTTTTTCCCGCCAAAATCATTAAATATATCCTATATATAGTAATTGTTGGACAAATCTGAATAGGCAAAAAAATCTGCTCATTAATTGTGTAAAGATTTGTTTCTCTTTTTCCTATTTCTTAGTTTATCGTTTTAACAATAAATATTTGTTTTTCTTTTTCCTATTTTTAGTATAAATCTACACGAGCTTATCTCTTCTGTTACAAAATCCCATTGCATACGATCTTACGTGTTTAAAAAATCTCATCTCTTATCTATACAGATTTGAAAAAATAAAATAAAATAGAAATCAATCCATAATTACTACTAGAAATTCATTATCTTTAAAAAGAAAAAATAAAATAATATAGAAACCAATTCATAATTACTACTAGAAATCCATTATCTACTTTAAGAAGCTAATTTTCATCGGTCTAATTACTAATATTTTTACAAACATTCTAAGCTAACCATACAAAAAAGTATAATGGTAATTTTGAAATGGTGTGTAATCAAATTTTTTTATATTCTCTTATATAAAATCATTTTACATTGTTTGACCCCGAATCTTTAATATAATTATTAAGTATTGTTTATCCTCTTCTTTTATTTATAATTATTTTTTTTCTTCCTCTTTTTAAATACGATCAATAGTAGTTTTCACTTCCGCCATTGACTCAAACTCGAGGTCTATTTATAATATTGTTATTTTAATATTGTTCCCGTGCATCGCACGGGGTACACACTAGTTTTGAGGCTAATTCACTACCAAGACATTTTGTCCGTGAACAAATCGCAAGGGGTCATTTGTAGACATCATTTTTTTTAATTGATGTATTTATTTATTTTGGGACATAAATTCAAGATAAATAAGATATATAATTAATAAAATAAATATTTCTTGCCCACCAAGTCAATTATTAGGATAATAAAAAAAGACTATTAAATCATGAAGGACCAATCAAATTAATGTCTTCTTCTCTAACTTTCTCTCTCCTACACTTATAAATAAAGGTTCCCCTCAAAGCCAAAACACACACATCACAATTTTACTAGTCAACTCCCCTAAAAGGCCTTTCTTTCAAGTCTGTTTAAGTCTCAAATTCTAGAGCTCTAAAGACCCAAGGTCATTCAAGTTAAAGATCACTGTTTGATCCAGAATTAAGCCTCCTAGCCTCTGACGTACGCTCAATGAAGAAGAAGGTCCAAATAAGAAAAAGAGGCGGCGATTCTTCTCCAAGACGGTGACATCCACCCATCTCAAATCAGTCCAACAATATCAACGACGTTCTAGCGACACTCAAACCACGTTCGTCGAGAAGTTCAAACAATATATCGATTCATTCGAGAAAAATCTTTCAATCCCTCAGGTCAACGTTATCCAAATTCAAATCCATATTTGAAGATCCCAATCAAAGTTCAAGAATAGTAGAATTAGATGAGATAAATAGAGAATGTTCCCACAATATCGTTTGATTTAAATAAATCAAATTGTACAAAGTTCTATTTTTTGCATAAAATTTGTTGTTAAAAATTTGACTAGTGGGACACGAAATAAAATTCATTGTTACTACATGATTATTATAAATCAATCTCACAGTATCATTATAAGAAAAAGTGTAATTAGATCTGTTGTAAATATTAATTTGTGGACATC